GGCATGGAGGCTGGAAAACACTAGAAAAAAACACTAATAGAGGACAGCTGATTGGTGGTAGATAAATGTATGTGTCTGAAAATAGAAAAGAAAATATCTGGGGTTGTGTCTAGCTCCATCAAAATCAATGGCAAATCTCACATGGACTTCAATTTTGACTAGAATTTTAACCCTGTTTTCTGCATGGATCAGTAGGAAAAAGGTGACTTTTTTTTACTTTCCCTTTCCAGTGTAAGAAGTGCTCTGTTTGGACAACTGCCACTGACTCTTCAGCATTTGGCCCAGTTTTAAAAAAATCTCTATCGGCCAATTAGCTGTACAAAATAAATACTGTCTCTTCAGCTGGCCTGGATAGTTTCTATGGCAGCCCCATTCTTAATCTAAACTCTATTCTTTTTCCATTTCTTGCTTCTCCCTTCAAGCCACCAGCCACTTCACCACTTCACTTTGAAGAGGCTCTTGAAAGCAGAATATAAAAGGCAAACTGTTTCTCTTCCTCCTGCAGTACTTTCCCGTTTAGAGAAACACTGGGGTCTTTGCTCATAACAGTGAAGTTCCATCTGTAGTTGTTACTTGCTGTCAGTCACGGTGTCTTTTGCTAGACCCAAAGGACCCAAAATTATTTCTGCAGAAACTGTGATTAGAACTCTGGACTACTAAATCCCATTTCTTTTCCCCCATGTCCTCTTCACTATTTGGTTTCGGCATGAAGTCATTAAGTATATTTTAGAAATCCAAAAGGTATATAGACATGTATTTTGATTTGCAAATTATCACTGTTAATGTTAGCATTATATGTATATAATTTAGTATATATGTGAAGATGTGTATTATTCTTCAACAACAGAATCCAGTGGATTCTGATATTTACATTATGCTTTTCACTGCTATGACTCCGAGGAAGTATGTTATTTAATAACATTTGACAAATGTAATATTTTCAGGTTAATATGGTAATTTTTTTTACTAAATTTCATGAGGAAATCCTTTATTTGTTTCTCTTCTATTTAGGTTGTTTGTTTTTTTCCCAAAGACTGAATTTACTTGTAACTTGAGATTTGAATGCATGTGCCTGTTTCTTCTTGTAGTTTGCCAAACGGTTGTCACATAAATAACACATATTTATTAGTGCTTGGATACCAGTGTGATGGGTAACTTAGACTGAGTGAAATATTTAAAATGAGAAGGAGACAGATCTTAAAATCACATCTGCTTTGGAGAATTGAACTTTGCCAAAGCAAACTGTAAGCTTCAGGTTCAGTGCATCTATGTCTACTCAGCCTGAAGCAGTGCAAGTTTGGGTGGAATCTGCACTCACTACTTCAAACAGGTCAGAAGCATGATCACCATTAGACATCTCTCACAGGGCCTCTAGCAATTTTTCAAGCAGTGGCTTCTGGAAAATATTAGAAGTTGACATTGTATTGTGACAGAGAAAGTTAAACCGGTTGCTATTAAAAAGATGATTTCTAAATATGTATGATTCCTCCATTAACTTCTGTAGGCTTAACTGTAAAGAGGCCTGTCTTTGCTGCTACTGCGATGGCAACAGAGAGGTCACTCAGTGTAGTCAGCCACAGGTTTCAATAGGCATGGAATTGGGCTGACGTTGCATACATGTCAGACTTTAGCTCTTCCAGCCATATCAGTGACCTGACTCAGCTCTCAAACACACCTGAGGTGAAGGTTTAAGACACTTTATTCCACACTTTACTGATGAGGAAACTGAGGTGGTGAATGGAATGCCACACAGTCCTGGCATTCAGGTCTACAGTCACAGTCGACTCCTCCAGCCACTGGAACAAACTGCTAAAAGCAAAGTAGGAGATTATTTGAGGAACTTGCTTCCCTCAAATATTCACCTTAGCTGAGGAATCTGTCTAATGATTGCTGTGTCCACAGATAGTCCCAAGAATGCCAAAAGGATAACTGTTGAAATTTACTGTTGAAAATTACTGTTACTCCAAAACATGCCATTTCTGTCTGCAGATAGACGTGTGCAAGTTTGTGGTCTAGTCTACTCTGATAAATTTAATCATGATTTCCGTACATTTTTGACACTTGGGCTTCATTACTACCATTCATTATAACTGAAAAAGTTTCAGCTGATTTGTTCCATGGCAGTCTTTTGTCTGAGCCACACAGCTGTTGAGAAAAGTCCCCCCTGGTCCATTTTCACTCATTAGTCTTCCACTGGATGTGGAGGTCTAATGAAAGAGTCATCTGCCTATAAAAAATAGTGCTGTCTGCTTAGTCACATAGCCTGCCTGTTAAATAGAAGGAGGTAGCAATGAAGTGTCACATTTCAAAGACTACAAGAGAGAATTGGAATGGTAATACACTGAACTAATGCATTCTTAATGAGAAGAAGCTCTTCTATTACTTTATTGGGATGCACGGAAAGAAGTCCTGAATGCTCAGAAACAGAAAAACTCAGAAAGCCATTTTTAATGCTGTTGGGGAAAAAAAAAAGGAAGAAACCATGGCAGAAATCTTAACAAATTTCTGCTTGCAAAGTGTAAAAATTGTGTTAGCAGGATCCTTTGCTTAAAATTTAAATTCGAAGGTGAGAGGTGTGAGCCCTCTGATCTCTACACACTAAAAGCTTTTGGGGCTGGATAAATTCTGGGCATACAGCACAAGCCTTGAAACCAATATCTAATCCACTGAGCACTGAATGTTTACAACATCCTATAGGTACAGGATAATAAGAAAATGCAAAAAGCCACATTTTTGACACATTATCTTGTCTAAGAAACTGAAAACTCTAAACAATCCCCAAAAGTAATGATTTTAACCGCAGGTAATCCCATTGTAATCTCTCCCATTTTTAATTTCCATATGTGTTTTTAATCACTCATATCAAATCCATTCTAAATGTGCCAAAGTCAAACTAACAGCCACAAAATCTCGACATTTTCCACCTTTTCTTGGGCATATTTGCCCAATCCATCATTGCATATTTCTGTCATCTGCTACTATCTCCAAATGATACACATTTTAAATCTTTCCTACTTGTGCTTCCATCTGCCAGAGTCTTCAGTACTCTAGAATGAAAATAATATGGACCAAATGATTTTGTTACACTAAGCTGCATATATTTGACTTCCATTTAAAAAGATGTAATTCCCATTGATTTATCATCATTCTTTTTAGCCATCCTTTCAATATCTTTATGTACATCAACTTCCTGGAAATTGGGGAAAATCATTTATTCAACAACAGCTAAGCTATACCTCAAGAAGAATGCAGGCATGCCCAACTTACCCTTCAGGTCACTGCCACAGTCTCACCTTATCGGTTTGTTTCCTTATTGTTCCAGTAGCTAAAAACAAACAAACAAAAAAGCTTTGTTTTACTTTTCTGTGCAAGGTACATGTCAACAAGGCCTCTACTCATCATTTCTTTGCTTCTGTATTTCATAGTTCTTGAAAAAACAGTTCTTCTTGCTAATCAAGGCCTCTTTTCACTCTTTGGGGGTTTTGTAATTATTCTAAATATCTTGCTTTAGTTCTTTATTCATTAGGGCACTCCAGCCCTTTCCTACAATTCCTCCCTCCTGCCTAGCACACATAGATTATTTCAAAAAAAACTAAGCTTAAAATAGCACACTTCGTTGTTCTTGAATTTCTGTACCAAAAAGTCTATCTTCTGAAATGCCGAAGAACATCTAAACCTTGCTATTATTGATAGTATTTATGTCTATGTCTGGAAGACTTAAATCTCCTATGCTCATACAATTTTCCCCTTATTTATTTCTTTCTTTATAGAAATGATTACCCTCTTCTGAATCTCAGCCTGTCAGACCATAATAGCCCCTTCTCCCCAAACACTGTCCAAGTTGCACCTCTTTTAATATCTTCCTTGCGGTGATTTTCATCCTAACAGATTATCTTCTATTCATGCCATCACATTTTAAGATGAATAAATATAATTTGGCTGGTTTACTTTGCTACATCTTCAAATTCCCTGACTTCTGTGTATTTTAAGTTGCATCCACATAGGCCTGTATATAAAATTTCCTTGTTTTCTTTTTAGATTGAAGAAACCCCAAGGAAAAACATCATGCGCTTTCCCACCCTTTCACAAAATCATTATAAATGCACCCATTCATATCAGATTAGATTAATTTAACAGCATTTGGTTTAGGTTGGGTTTTATTTAGCAGTATATACCAGCTATGAATAGTTCTTTTCTATTCCAATAATGCTTTCTCCTAGTCACTACTGATTCACCTGAATGAGGTATAGGTGATACTGAAGCAGTGATTAGATTCTAATCAACGTGCATCAGCCACAATGTACAGAAAATGTGTAGTGTTCAGAAAAACCCCAAAACCAGAAATTTGAACAGTAGGGAGCACCTGTGAGTGTAGAGATTTACCTCCCCTCCACACCGTTAGCACGTTAAAAGGTTGTCACATGCAGCTTTAATCCAAATTATAGAGTTCTGTGGGGGAATATTCTACAAAAACCTTCACCCACCATCTCTCATAGCCATTAGTCTGAGGGTGTGCTGAGAGAGGAGAGGCAAGGAATGAATTATAACATAGTCCCTCAGCGAATATGCCAAGCCCAACTCTTCTTAAACTTCCCTACAGCCTAAGTTACAGTCCAACAGAAAGTTTGCATGTTGCTGTTCTTGACAGTAATAAATTGTTATCATGCACTGAAGCATAAACACCACCATTAAAATACTGAGGCATTTTCTGAAGTGTTAAAATTAAGTCCTGCGACTAATCTTATAAATGATAACCAAAAGACTGCATATCAACTCATTTTATTTCCTATCTGAAGAAGATAGGGAACTTAACCTTAGATTTCAAAAAAAAATTATAGCTAAGCCAGTACTGTAATACATTTCTTCCAGTCAGTGTTGCTGTGATTTAGATGAGAAGCATCAAGAAAGATTTGAGCTGTCACACTTGACTTTGAGCTGCCAAGAAGAGGTATTGGAGGTTACAGGCTAAGCTTTAATTTATATTCCTCCTTTTGTTACAGGCAGAGATGGTACGTGCTGCTTTCCAAGCGCAGAGGTCTTTCCTGGTGTTAGCATCCCAATGTCAAGAGCCTCAAGAGGTAAGAAAAGTGACCTAGAGTTGCAAGAGGCAATGTATTAAAAAGGCTGTACTCCTATATGTTATCAATCCCTGCATTTGCTTTTATTTGTTTCTTTATTTATGCATTGCACTTAGAGGCTTGCTTTCAGTTTTATTAGCATGGTGCTGTAATAATGAGAAAGCCATGGTGCAGAGTTAAGAGCCTTTTCTGTACCGATACACATAAGATCATTGAAGAAACCAAAAGAGGTTTCCATTTCATGGCTGTAAGTGGGATCAGTGTTTCCCTGCAAGCTGGAAATGCCATGGAATAGAACAGCTTTTTGCTAGCCCCCCAGGGATCCTGTATGACAGTCTTTGAAGTCAGGGGATAAGCTAGTGAGAGGAAAATCAATACTGGCCCATAGACTCAGTATTCTCGAAGCTGAGGTCCAGGTTAGGCCAATTCTGGAAGGCAGGCAAAGCATATTGCCAAGAAAATGAAAAAAACAATTTATATCAAGTTGATTTATGTACTTACTTTAGTGGCAACTATTTAAATCCTCCCCTAGAAGACTCAGGAAAGCTGTTGGAGCTGTTATGAAATCTCATTTATAGTTTCTAGAGGGCACAAGGTTTTGACCAGTAGCACTCTATCATTCCTGGGAATAGCCATTATGTAGCCTTTCTGTGGGACCATCATTGAACCTTCCTTTCTGGAGTGTGCAGAGAACGAAAGCTTCACTTGCAGTGTTTCTCTGGAAGCTGGAAATGCCATGGAATAGAACAGCTTTTTGCTAGCCCCCCAAGGATGCTATATGGCCTTCAGTTGTGTCTTTTTCCACTTGCTCCCCACTCCATAGTGCATGAAACTCTGTATTTTCAAATCAGAACTCTCAGCAACTGGTATAAAGTACTTCAATTTTGCTGTCACTCTTGTTCTTAGAGACACAAATAAAAAGATTTTCTAATCAGTATGTTTTAATGGCAAAGATAGCCAAGGAAAAAAAAAAAGCCACAGATATTCCAGGCAAGACTTGAGATTTATAGAGCTCTGAGCAAGAAAGGATCAGTTGTTTTCCAGCTGTCCCTGATCTCCTGGAGTAAAAGTGGGTCATGACTCACAGAGAACAGGCAAAATTCCCATTGGTGCAGGCCTCAGGCAGTCATTTATATTGTCTGTGAATACAATTGCACTCAGTGGCCCACAAAACTTTTCATGCTCATAGGTAAAATATTCTGCAATGAACAGTTTCTGATGGCCCACAAGGTAGTGCATAGTTCTGAAGTGTTGCTATTGTCCCAGCTCCGGCAAGAGCAGAAGCTGTGGCTCAGTTTGGCCTCCTGTGCTGATGTGCTATCGGTATGATTTTCTCTGCTTTTTAAGTGAGAATGGCAGTGGCTTCTCCCCACTTTCACCCTTACAACTTTCTGGCCTCAAGTCAAGGCTTTGAGATTTTTTGAACTGTCAAGTTTAGAAACTTTCATTTAAAAACAGCAACAAAACAAGCAAAACGAACAAACAAACAAAAATGTGTAGGAAGAGGTTCTCCAGGAATCCAGAATGACAGTTATGGAAGCATTAAGAAAAGCAGTAAATAATAAAAACCTTGGCCATATGTATCCATACATCTTAGTTGCATGTTATCAGGCTTGCATAGATTTCTGCAACTTGCTAAAGGCAAGAAAGTATACTTTTATCATTTAACTATCTTTTAGCACTGAGGAGATGCCACATGACACATGCGTACACATCATTCCAGAGTTAAAATACCAGGAATATTAAAGACTAAAGTTTCTTTCTCACTAAGGACCAACCCAGTCCAGTTACTTAAGTTTTGTTAACATAAAGACTGCTGTGTACACATTTTTTATAGGCAAACATATGTTGTTATGCATTCCTTTTGTCTTCTTTGCACGTATTTTTTGCACAGGTACATTCAGCTATACTATAGATGGACTTAAAAATAATTGAAGGCTGCCTATTTTGTGTGACTTGAACAGTATTTTCCACTGCAGAAAGTGATAGTTCCAGGCACTAGGCTTTTTATATTTCTATCGTAGTGGGGAAGAAAGCCCCAATGTAAAGCCACATTGGTTAAACATTTTGAAAAAGCTGTTTATCATCAGCTAACCCAGAAGAAGGAAAGAAGCAGGGGTCCTTCCCCTCACCCCCCAGGACCTTGTTGACGTGATGTCATCTAGGTTCTGGTTGTATTTATAGCCTAGAGCCATGGAGTCAGTGTGGAATCCAAACAGGAAAGCTAATCATTAGTGTACCAGAATGCACAGAGTAGAGAAAAGCAAATGAAGATGACAGCATATCTATAAATGCAAGAGAAAAGAGAGTAATTCTGTCATTCAGCTGTCTAGACTGTTTGCTTTATAATGTAAAGCTGTGAATGAGCCAGCGAGTTGCAATTATGGCATAGTAGCTTTGTAGACATTCAGAGACAGCGGTGTGGAGACTGAGGGGATTTACTGAGTTCCTGTCATGTTGGGATGTCATACTTGGTGCCTTTAAAAAAAAAGAAGAGGGAGGGGAAAATGCCCTGGAAAAATAAATTAGCTCAGCTCTTGCAGCTTACAAGCTAATGAATAAGGAATTCAAACAAAAAAGAAAGCTCCTATAGGTATAATAATCCTTAGATTTTTGTTTTGTTTTGTGCTCAGCAAAGAGAGAAATGTATCTCGTACAAAAAGCAGTCTTTTTTCCCCCTATGAAAATGTTGAAGCCCTAATATTCATTTAGCTCTTTAACTCCCGCTATGAATCACTAGCAAACATTTTCAAACAGTTAAGCTTGCTGGAGTTGCTTTGGCAGAGTTTTGCTTCTTGTTAATAATGTTGATATTTTTTTCATTTGGAATCTGTTGCAGTGCACAGCCTTGTATTATCTGTATATGTGAAAATAGTAGGAGCCGAGAAGGTAATTCCAGCTGGCATACCAATCCAGCATCAACTGCAATAAATTACTTTGCAGAGAGCATGTTCTGTTACTTTTTATGGTCATGTTCTATATTTGTATGTGCAGTGGAAGAGATCACATGACAAAACCACTGGTTGATATTCCTGTTTGTGTATGTCCCAGCTAATGACTGCTGGATACAGGCTCATTCAACAAGATGGGATTCTTCAGTTCATCCACTTATTAGAAATCACTTTCTGACGCCAAACTTCAAACATTAAAGCCAAAAAATGTCTACTATAAATTGTTTACTCTACATAGATAGTACAGAGAAGATGGAAAAGGGAAATAAATTAGAATATTGCTGTATTCTGTGAGAAGCTGTTTAAAAAGGTGTTTTGAGACCATACATTTACATGTTGCTTGAGCAATTCAGAACATGGATTTTAACATAAACTTTCATACAACTCTATGAAAAAGTTTGGATCTGAATTTTCTATTCCACATACTCTAAGCCACATACAGTTCTAATTGATTGAAACAATATTCTTTTATTGAATAATGATTTAAAAAGTTATTAGTGTTCTTGAGCAAGTTTGTTTAATTTATAGTCATGAATACTAACATGTATGAGATCACTGCTCAGAGTCACTGCACTGAAGTCTTCGCAAATCGTAACTTACATACTGACTTTATGAGTTGTTTCATTCCACTTTAAGAGTTCAAACAATTTTGAGAGTTGCTTGAGGGTGTGAGTGATCCATTGTTCCCATACTGGGAACCAGTTAATGAGATAGATAAGTTTTTCTGTGAATCAATATAAGCATATCCAGATGAGCACACTTGTGGTAAGAAGTCCTACAAACAGGTTTAAACAACAGATGCAATTCAGATTATAAATGAGTATGTAATTTCTTATTAAAAAATAATGCTGAGTTCACATGACTGCCAGAGCTCATGGATTTAATTACTAACATTGTGCAGACAAACATTCCAATTAAGTATCTATCTTAAATATCCAGATTCAACACACAGGTGGGAGGAGAGGGGTGAAGAAAGTGAGAGGTAAAGGAAAGCTTTCCCTTTTTTTCGTAGAAAAGGGGAAAAATATCCCCACTGAAAGCCAAGAAACTGCATTTGAAGTTAGACTTTGAGCCATGAGAACAAATCCTGAGGCTTTTAATTTCTTATAGCCAAACAAAAAATCTATTGCAGGAGTAGAATAGTTGTGGCAATTTCTTTGAATAAACCATTAATTCTCAGAATTTTTATATAGAAATCAAAGATGAAGATTTACAGTTCCCTGCTCTCTGTCAGTATAAGATTGTTCATTTTTTTCTCTCTTCTATTATTAAAGTATTTCAATAACAGGACTCCTATTCTGCATCCTAGGAGCATTTGTTTTCTAATTACCTTGACTTGTTTATGTCATTCCATTTCCCATCACTTTTCCTCATATTTACCGGGATCACCCTTACTGTTTTCCAAAAATATAAAGAGTAGTATACTGCTCACATTGTTAATTTATTACTTAAGCAAAAGTTTGAGCCAAGTTTTGTTGCTATCCTACTCAGTTGACTGCTGCAAACCTGCACATCTATATCTAGAAATAGCTTAAGGAAGAATTTGGTCCAGTCCTTTTAAGGTCCTCAGGTCTTACAGAAGGTGCCAAGAGTGACATGGGCAGAGCCTGAGAGTCCTGATCTCCAAAGGCAGCCCCTTCCCCCCTCCTTTTCTCTGAAATCTTGCCAAACCGTTAACATACTTCTGTTATCAGCAAGCCTACAACTGCATACGACATGTGGTCACACAGTGATGGACCAACTGACATTTTTCAGTTGCTAGCCTGCTGCCTTACAGTGTTCACAGGCCAATTTTTGGATATTGTTGCAAACTCTTACTCAGTTTCAGGTCCAGACACCCCCCTAACACCTCTTATCTCACAATTTTGTCTCAGAGGCACTCAGCTGCATTTAACCAGCCTCAAGTTCATGATATTTTCTGATCATAGAATCATTTAGGCTGGAAAGAGCTTTAAGATCATCAAGTCCAACCATAAACTTAACACTGCCAAGTCCACCACTAAACCATGTGGTTTAGATGTAGATGTGGCACTAAGTGCCACATCTACA